GATATTTTCTCCACAATTGGGGTCAGTCTCAATTTAAGGCTAGACAGCTAGAGTCTTTCAACTCATGTGCCAACTAGAAAAATATAAAGCTATTATAGAGGTTGCTTTAGTACAAAGAGGATTCTACTAGCCTTTAGTATTTCATATGTGTAAACACTTCGATAGTTAATATTTGACAGCATGCTAAGTTTTATTTAGCTTTCATGTAATAAAATATAAAACCCAAAGTCAAAAAAATTATATGATTTAAATTGTTCTAAATCCCAAATTACAAATTTCTGAATTTCATGCTGAAACAGAATTTAGTGTACAGTTAGGCTAAGTTCTTATAGTTGAAACACTCTTTTAAGTTACCTAATCAACCAAAGAAAAGCTTAAGTGGAGAAAATGTATTATTATCCCAGAAGAGATAATTATGGAAGTTTAGATGTGCAATGCCATATGGGTTTTTAATAAATTATTGTAAGACATTAATTAATCCTAAAATCTAAAAAATTACTGAAGAGACCTGTTCATCTACTTTTGACAATATATGTATAAAAGTGTTTTTTTTCCAATTAACCTAATGCTAACAGATTCTCAGATTGTGCAGATAATATTCTTCAGGGATGTTGTTAGAAGGGTTTTCTATATTATAGAAGTAATGGCATATATAGTTACAGAATGAGCATCAAAATGTTTAGTTTGTTTGTTTTATTTACCATACATTTAATTAAATAAATATCTCCTGAAGCTAACTGTTAGAAGATGGCAAAAGATTCTGCAGTATTCACCACCTCGTCCTTAAAACAAGATAGAAACGTAGCTTGAGACAATTCTTTCCATGTGAGTATTTTGTGAATAGTCTCATACATTTCCTAAGAGCAATTTAAAATATTTCAATGCTTGCTTATTAAGAGAGACTTCCTCTTTCCCTTCCACAGCCCTAATTTTATTAAGCTCTTCGTTTCACACTTTTATCCCCCAGTGGGATACTTAGGCTGGTTTCTGTCCCACTCCACAGGGGAAACTGTTCATTTTATCTATCCTTCTTTAGTATTTGACAGCACTACGGTACATTTCAAGCCCGATGCATACGTGCATATTAAAAATAATTATTTACTGCCTATCACCCCCATAATAGTACTGTCTGGTGGTCCCATTAAATTGTGACTACGGCTTCCTGTGTCACGGAATATATTGAGTTCTTTGCTTCCTGCTGGAAGAGTCTGAAAAACCAAGTGACATTTTCCTCTCTTTTTCCTCTCCCCACTCTCAATCATCCTTCCTACATTTAGCTGAGTTCTTAATTCCTTTTCCTTCTTTAGGAGAAAAGGCAAAACGACTGTCACAAGCAAAAAAAAAAAAAAAAAAAGTGTTCTTTCTTGCCCTTTCATCTCCAGGTAGATGAATCAATAAACCATGGAGACTAAAGTGCTCCATCTTCTGGTCAAGGATGCATGTTAACCAGCAGCTATTCCCTATTGTAAAAGGAACATTTTATCTCTGGGACAAGATCCCGAAGATACTATTGATGAGTCCGCCAATATCATCAAGAATAAAACATCCTTCTTCTAGTCTCCTAGGCTTACAAGCCTGAAATAATTTTCTTCCAATCTTCTTCTCTTATTTTCTTCATTCCCACCTGCCAATCCAAGTCTGATAATATTTCAAGCCTTGGAGTGGCATCAAAGCTGAGACTCCTCTCTGCCCCTTCACATCTGGCACAAGTTACTTAACATTTTTCACCCCCAAACCCCTCATCTGTAACATAAATGTATTTTATTTAGTCCTCATAATAACTTAGAAGGTAGGAACTATTATTATATTTATGTTTGTAAAATACAAACATAAAATATTTGTAAAATACATAGAAATCACCCAATAAATGTTAGCCACTCTGATTGTAACTACAGTCATTATTATTTTTTAAAATATTTTTCTTTTTTTTTTTTGAGACAGAGTCTCACTTCATCACGCAGGCTGGAGTGCAGTGGTGCCATCTCAGCTCATGGCAGCCTCTGCCTCCTGGGTTCAAGTGATTCTCATGCTTCAGCCTCCTGAGTAGTTGAAATTACAAGCATGTGCCACCATACCCGGCTAATTTTTATGTATTTTTTAGTAGAGATGAGGTTTCACTATGTTGGCCAGGCAGATCTTGAACTCCTGACCTCAAGTGATCTGCCTGCCTCCACCTCCCAAAGTGCTGGGATTACAGGCGTTAGCCATCACACCTCGCCCTAAAATCATTTTTAATTCAATTCAATACTAATTTTTTAATCCATACCATGGCCAAGATGCTAAGCACATTAGTAGGACTTTTTTTAATATAGTAGACAAACTAATAGTCTACTAGGAATGACAAAGAATTACTTAGTAATTTTGATGCAAGATTATGGTAGATGATGACAAAGTGAGCTACAAAAGTGTTCCAGGTCAGTGCTTCTTAACCTGTAATGTGTGTATTAATCATTTGGAGACTGCTAAGTTGCAGATTTTTATTCCATAAGTGTGCATTTCTCATAAGCACCCGGGTGATGCTGATGCTGCTGGTACCGTTAAATGTCTTGAGTATCACTCTGAGAATAAACATTTGTTTCAGTACTCTATAAAGCTATGGTGGACAGCATAGATGTCATATGACTTTAAAGCAAATGGGTTGTGGAGCAAGTGGTGTTTAAGAATGCCCTTGAGGCTGGGTGCGATGGCCCATGCCTGTAATCCCAGCACTTTGGGAGGCTGAGGCAGGTGGATCATCTGAGGTCAGGAGTTCGAGACAGCCTGGCCAACATGGTGAAACCTCATCTCTACTAAAAATACAAAAATTAGCCAGACAAGTGGCGGGTGCCTGTAATCCCAGCTACTTGGGAGGCTGAGGCAAGAGAATTGCATGAACCCAGGAGGTGGAGATTGCACTGAACCGAGATTGCACTATTTGCACTCTAGCCTGGACAACAAGAGCGAAACTTTATCTCAAAAAAGAAATGGTCTTGAAAGATGAAGAGGATTTTACCCATTTCCACTTGCTTGTCTAGTCTACTCTTTTCTGTCCTTCCCGAACGCTACTGTTACTGAGTACTTAAAGAATAAAGTACCTTCCTATAACTTCCATCTGAAATGGTGCTCCTTTTCATCTTTGAGTACAGACAACTTCCTTGGAAGAATCATGTCTCATTGGCTATTCCCATGTTCTCAGGGTGTCAATGTGGTCCTTTCTGATTTTGAAATAAAATTAAATGATAAAAAATGTGCAGGGATCTCCTCTATCTTAAAGGCAAAACCCAGCCATTTCCAAGTCACTATGTGTGCTCTAATGGCCAGACACCAACTCTTGAAGTGCTTATCAACCTATAATTGGGGGCTGTCACATCCAAATCTAGGTACCCAGGTTGGCAATTAAGCCATCCAGGTACCAAATTTCCACTTGGTAGAAATTAGCTGGAGCAATAAAGCCAGCCAGCCCTTGGATGGCGCATGTGCTCTCCAAGTCTCCAGTTCAGGCAAATCTCCATGATCTCTTAGACATGACCCACTTCATGCTGTTCCCTAACTCAGTAGCCTACATAAGCAGTTAAGTTTCTGATACTATCAACCTAAAGGCCATGAGTCATTTTGACTTGGAAAAAATATATATCCTTTGTCATCAATCATATATAACATAGTGTTTTCAGAATACAAGGAGACTAGCTTTTTCCCTGAAAATTAATATCATATAACAATCAGGTCACATTTAAAGCTTGTATATATTAGCTTTCTTGGTTTGCAGTCTTTGCTTTTCTACATCATTTAAGTATTTGATTCCAAAAGTTTATTTCTTCCTTTTCCAACTGTGGAAGTAAAAGGAAATATGAGCCAGAAGAAAAAAAAAAAAACAAAGAATCAATACCTCATTTCATGAGTGAGACTTTGTAAGAGCTATGCTAGCAACTTTATGAACTAGTAGAGAATGCATGTGAAGTTAAAAAAAAAAAAAAAAGCAGAGAAAAGTGTGTGGCTTTTCCCAGCCTAGTTCTCCAGACCCAGATTTTTATTACCAACTCAGTAAAACCTGAATAAATCACTTAGGTTTCCTATGCCTCATCCACTCCTCATGAGCATGCACAAAATAAGAGAGAGAGAAAGAGAGAATAAATAGCTTTTGAGTCATTTCTAAAGCTTCTTCAGTTTGCTAGTAGTAGATGCAAATTTTTTAATTAAGACCATACTTACTCACTTAAAATATCAGAATTTTTTCATTTATATTTAAAGGAACCAAACACTGATACCAGGGGTAAAAAGCAGAGGGGGAGGGCACTAATTGCCTTTCTTAAACTACAAAAGAAATTCTCACTTTTTAAAAAGTTTCATAAATAGATGATTATTCTTCAGCATAACTGTCCATTTGAAAGACCAGGAGGCCACTAGAGGAAGAGAGGATTACTACAGGTTTCAGAACATCCCTAAACATAGCTCCAAGATGGATTATGATGGAAGAATCTGGCTTGTTTTGAAGTTGGAAGGTAACATGTTACCTAGGCTCATAACTAGCAAATTCATAAATTCATGAAGTTGCTCAAACGAGACAAGAGCACACGAAATTGGAGTCTACAGCCCACTGAATGTGCTTGGCTCTGCCCCACTTGCTGGGAATGACCACACAGGACTTCCCTTGCCTTATCTGAAGGCCAGAGGTAATAAAAACTATGTTGCAAGGTAGTCATAAAAATCAAGGTCAGGGACTGTTGATGGAAGCAGCTATACACTGTAAAGTGCAAAACTTAGGCAAGACATCATGTGATTGTTTGATAGTCTAGATAAAATTCCAGTAGGATGAGCACAAGAAATGAATCAACATTGCTATCCCCTAAACCAAAAGGTAAGAGATAGCGCCTAGGAACTCTCTTCATCATCACCACAATACTGCCTCTGCATCATGTGGGGGTTAACTGCATGGTCAAGGGCTGAGACTTTAATCTGGGCACCCCCAGGTAGAGCCAACTGACCTTGGCCAAATTCCTAATCTCTCCATTCCTTTTTTCTCCTTTTGTAAAGTAGACATGACGAAAAACCTAGCTTATAGATTGGGCTTGGTTAACATAAGTAAGCACTTAGAATAGTGCATGGTTCATTGTAAATTCTACATATGTCCTGTTCATGTGAAAAGTTGTTTCTAATATCTGTGGTGCTACGCCCTACCACAAATTTCTTAGTAACTACTTACACAGAATACTCCCATTGTTGGCCTACCTCTCACTGCCTTACTGTCCCATGCTAACACTTCTAGAAACAGCTGGAATACTGATCTTCTGGTTTCCTAGCTCTCTGGACTTGCTAGCACTCTTATCAAAAGTTTATTTTAAAAAGATGCTTAATTAATAGGAAATGGTGTTTAACATTGAATTCCATGTAAGACAATTAATGCAGTAAAATAAAGGGTACCTAATGGAAGCTAAAAATTCAGTGTGGCATTCAAAACCCCAGACTTTGAGAGTCTTTAGAGTCACTCAAGGGGGCTGAGAAGGAGGGATCTTTACTAGTTTAGTATCAACAGTGATGCCTATTATGGTCCACTGATGTGGCCACCAGGCTCTCCTTTTCCTCATCCTTTATCCTTCCCAGCATATGCTCAGTTGTGTGCCTACCTCTTTGGATCAGTTCCTTTAACCTCTGCCACTGATACACTTCCAGCCTTGAAAGATTGATTTCTGGCCTTCATCATCATTTCCTGCTCCCCAGTTAATTGACAAGATATTTTCCACTTCTTGACATGACTTGCATCAAAAGACACCAACATGTACTGATGGTGCTGTGGATAAAGCATCAGCTTCCTATCTGTTGCCGATGTCATTTCATTCTCATTGATTATATGCCTGTTGTATACAAGGCACTGGTGAATGCAAAGCTACATAACTTCATGTCTACACGTAGCTTACAACACATAAGACATTTATGTCATTTCCTCATGTATGAAAAGGTATGTAGTTTTTAAGATAGGATTACATGTTACCAAAGCACAAAATGAAGAATAAATATATTCTTCTCTCTGGTCTTTCCCCATCACTTTTTAGCCCATGACTCTCCTTTAGTTTACCTTATTGTAGTTATAACACCTGACATGTTACATATCTACTTTTTTTGTTATTTAACAATGGCTATCTCCAGCTCTCAGAATGTAAACTCCATGTGAGCCGGGACTTTGCCCACCTTGTTCACTGCATGTCCCCAGCCCTTAGAATATTACTTGGCATGAGGAAGGCCCTCTATAAATATCTGTTGAAAGAAGGCCTTCCAGAAGAAGTGAGATTTGAGTTAGGCTTCAACCAATAGGAAGGATTCCAATGAGTGAGAAATGGGATAAATTATATTCTAGAAGGAGGAACTGGCACTAGTAGAAACATGGAAGCTTCTAAGCAGGGTATAACTGAGGTAACAAAGTGGCTCCAAGATGGAAAATGAAAGGATATGGTGGAATTCAACTATTTTTAAATTAATTTTATGAAAGAAAATAATTTTTGCCCCAACGGTATTATACTTCAGATATTTCAATGACATTTATAAGTCAATCTAAGTGCTTTAAGAGTGATTCAGGTCCCAAATGAACAAACCACAAAGTAAAAGATACATTGGTTACTGTCATAGAGAACAGATTGAATGGAAAAAGTAGGGAAACTGAGGAAGAAAAGGCAAAAGGAAAGAAATGAGGAAGGAAAGCACAGAAAAGAAAGCCAGCGTCCTCGTCACAGTTGTGCTCAGTGCCCTTTCATTTTATGTACACATTTCTAAGAAACCCATGTTTTCCATTCTTGCCCACCCTACTTCAATGACACCATCTGTAATTGACTCTCATCCTGGATTTTGATTCTTGGTGGCAGTCCTGCACTAGAGGGTAGTTTCAGGGAAGATTTTCATTTCTGCTAACTTCTTTTACAAAAAGAAAAAGTTATGACATTATAGCAAGTTTCTATCATCTATAGAAATCTCTTTAAAATCAAGAAAATTCAATAACATTTCCAATGTGAGTCAGGAGTGAGTTTGAATGAATACCATTTTATTTTGTCTCTTCGTTTTCAAACGTCTTCTCTAAAATGTGCTCACCTAATGATATTTTTTAAATAATGCTTATAGATTTTTTAAACAGTATTTTTAGATGGCTCATAGCTAAATCATTCTTCTGGAAATTTATTGGCTTGTGGGAAATGTTTGTCTGACACACTGTTTCTAACTACCCTGCACAGACTGAAACTTCACACTTCCATCTTGCCTCAAGTCCAAGAGAAGTCTTTCTCCAACAACCATGGTGTAGACCAGCTGAAGTGTGCTACAGAGGAATATGATGAGTTTCATTACAGCTGCCTCAAGTAAGGAACCCTGCTGAGGAACAATTTATCCAAGCTCACCAGGTCTGAACACTGAGAGTATACATAGTTGGCTGTTGAAATTCACAGCCAACTAAAAATGCCGACATAGCTTCTGAAACTCTAAGACAATAAAAGCCCTTGGAGAAGGATGCATTTCTCCTTTGTTGCCTTAAAATACAGATTAATATGACAGTTCCAGGAATTTGGAAATTGAGCTTACCAACCAGCCACTCCCAGAGAGGATGCCAACCCGCAGCTTCGCCTGCAACTGGGCAATGTGGTTTTGACCAATTCTGGGAACATGCTCAATGTTTTGAAAGAGCCCAAGGGGACCAAACAGAAAATGTGGTAAAAGGGCCCAGTGGCATACATTTTTTGTGTGTGTCCATCATCCTCTTGAAATAAAAATGGATTTTTTTTTCAAATGCAAGCTAGAGAACAACCACTTCCATTCTTACAATCCAGCCAGGTCTGGGATGAAAGCAAGTACTTCAGAAAGAGGATGAAACAGCAGCAACACACAAACCATGGGGTGGAGAAAGGGAAGATAAAAACGCTCTTAGTGTAGTCAAAACAAAAATTTAATCAAAGCACACACCTTTCAGTCTTGAAACACTATATAAAAACTATTGTAGAGAACAAAAGACTCTTGGAGGAAGAATAAAAACAAAGGAACGGCCAAAAGAAAGAGAGGGGGTGAAACAATGACATTCTTCCAAGACCAGGAAAGCAATTCATCCTAAAATAAAGAGCACAAAAGAAAGATAACTACAAAATAGAAATATAAAATGACTATGACATGTTGGGCCAGGAAGCCAGTATGACAATATTTTCTCATAAAATGATATACTATTTCATCACCATATGCTTTAGGAAAATCCAATATGTTTCTGACAGACTTCTAACATTTTTTTCCCAAGATGGTTAAAGCTTTAAGGAATGTGTCAAAGATACTTAGCACCCACTGCATTTTTGAATATTACACATTGGTAATTCTCCGGTTCATGAATTTTAATAATACCACTGCAATTCAGTTTGCCAATCATTCTCCCCAGCTCTAGCTGGTAAAAACATTCAATAGCAGATCCTGTTTTGGTTTTGATCCAGTATGCTGCTGAATCTTCAAATGGAAATACACACACACACACACACACATACACACACACACTACATATATAAGAAATTATACATATACATTATATATAAAAGAAAAAAGTATGCTAAAACTTAGGATAAAAACATTTGAAGCATTATTTCAAAACACTGGTTGATATTTCAAAGTACAGCTCAGTTATTGAGGAAAAGAAATGAACATTAAAGATTTAATGGATTCAATTATAGATATACGACTTTAAATAACACAAATAAGAATTAAACAGAGAGCGAAATGGATCATTATGTGCTATTTGCTCAGTATACTTCCACGTGGAGGACTTTCTAAGCTATTGTTGTTACATCCCTCCCCTCTCTTCCAACTGTATTTACATTCTTCTAACCACCCATGTCTTTCTAGTGTACTATTCTAGCTTCATCACAAATGACATGTTGTATCTGGGGATGTGCCCAGTGAACTGTAAGGTATTATGTAAATACATAATTAGGTGCTGTGCCATTAATAATAATATCTTATATTAGTGTAAAATTAAAATAATTGATTTTTCCTTTTTATCTGGCTTCTCTTTCTTTATTCTTCTCTTTTACTTGTTACTTATCTTTCCGTTCTTCTGTTCTTTTCTTAAAGTTACTTTATTCTTTCAGCCACCCAAGCTTCCAATGTACTTGTCTTTCATTCTTCCTTTTCCCCACCTTACTCTCTCCAATTACCAGGCTCTATTAATTCTCTTATTTCCTCCACTGACTGGCCTTTACAACTCTCTGTCCTATTTTCACTGATACTTCCTCAACACCAAGACTATGCTGAAAATATCTTAATAGTAACTTGTTTCCAATTTGGGTCCTTTCGAGTTCATTGCTTTTGTTGACACCAAGTAGATCTTTCTCAAGTGCTGCTTTAAACTTGTCACTCCTCTGCACAACCACAAAGACAGCCAGTATTGACAAGACAAAGAATAAAGTTCCCATGTCATAGCTCAGGGCCAAAGTAGATGCCCCAAACTTCTTACAGGTGCACCTTTCATTATTTCTCAACACAAGCCCTTTTCTGCAGGTGGATGGTCCACTCCCACAAACTGCGCAAGATCCAGTGGCTATTTGCCCTGCCTGAGCACCTTCTTTTCTTTCCATGTATTCTCTGTAAGTCCTATGAGGCTTCCTGAAGCCACCATTGCCCAAGAGGTTCTCTCTGCTTGAGCAACCTACTGGGTGTTTGTTCAAAACCAACTGTGCAACAAACAAATGGCTGCAGGACTGCCACGCCACTATTGATTCTATCGAGTTGTCGTTTAGTTTCCTCAAATACATTTTCAACTTTGTGAAAAATGGGGCCTTCAAGTAACATTTATTAAGTAACTGCTGTGTGCAGGACCCTGCGTTAGGTGCCTCAAAAATAGGGGTAGATTATACATTTTGGGTATTTCATGACAACCATTATGGTGCTGTGCATATCATGGCTGTCCAATGAACATCTCGAGTGAATGGATTTCCATTATTTTTATACTGTAAAACTGTAATTTTAGATTTTAACGGTCAAAATTAAGTTCCGTGTCTTTTTCTATGTACAGTAGGGAAACTATGGTAAAGAAAGATGAACTATCTTATTAACCCAATACATTTTATTAAAAAATTACTGCCATTATGTCCATTTCTGCTTTCTAATCTGCTGCTCTCACTGCCAAGCCCTTCTACGTCTCTTCAAGAGAATGTTGAAGACAATATGTTTCTCATTCAAGAAATGAGAAATGGTATGCTACTCCGGCCCTCTTACCAAGTGACCCAAAAAGCTGCTAGTTTTGAGTGGGGCCTAGAATAAAAGAAGATTCTGCAACAGGTCCAGGCTGCTGTCAAGCTGGCCCTCCACTTGGGCCATGGGATCTAGCAGATCTTATGGTACTTGAAGTGTCCATGGAAGATGGGTATGTTGTTCAGAGCCTTCTTCAGGCCCACATAGGTGAATTGCAGCTCAGATTATTAGAATTTTGGAACAAGGAGGTGGTGAGTTACCCTGAGGCTGAGTTACCCTGTGACCTGAGCTGCCCATCATGAACTGGGATTTGTCTGACCCACCACATCATAAAGATGGATGTGTACGGCAGCACTCCATCATCAAGTGGAAGTGCCATATATATGATTGGGCCCAAGCAGGACCTGAAGGCACAAGTAAGTTATAAGAAGTGGCTTAATGCCCTTTGACCCCCTTCCTGCTACATGCCTTCTCTCTCCCAGCCTGCACCTATGGTCTCAGAGGGAGTTTCCTATGATTGGTTGACAGAGGAAGACTCAGGCTTAGTTTATGATGGTTCTGCATAATATGCAGTTCTCTACTAGTTCTTCCACTCACTAGCCCTTACAACTACCTGTACTCTTTCCATTGCTATGTCCTCAAACCAGACTCTCAATATCTCACACCACCACCCAAAAGTTAACAGCTACAGCACTACTACCCATTTTTCGAACATCCTGAAGGACAGTGGTGAAGGGAAATCTTCCCAGTGGATAGAACATTAGGGAGTGCACCTGGCTGTTCATTTGGTTTGGAAGGAGAAATGGACAGATATGTAATTATACACTGATTCATGGGCTTTAGCCAATGGTTTGGCTGGATGGTCAGGGACTTGGAAGGAACATGATTAGAAAATTAGTGACAAGGACATTTGATGAAGGGGTATGTGGATAAATCTCTCTGGGTAAAACACATGAAGATATTTCTGTTTCATGTGAATGCTCACCAGATGGTAACCTTAGCAGAGGAGAATTTCAACAACTAAGTGGATAGGATGATCTGCTCTATGGATACCAGTCAGCCTCTTTCTCCAACCACCCCATCACCACCCAACTGGCCAGGATGGCAGGAATGGAGGTTGCACATGGGTTCAGCAATGTGGACTTCCACTCACCAAGGCTGACCTGGCTATGACCACTGCTGAGAGCACAATCAGCTAAAGCAGAGACCAACACTGAGCTACCAATATGGGGCCATTCTCCACAAGATCAGCCAGTTCCTACTGGTAGATTGATTATATTGAACCACTTCTACCATAAAAGGAACATTATTTTGCTCTTACTGGAATAGACGCCTACTTTAGGCATGGATTTGCCCTCCCTGCACACAATGTTTCTGCCAAAACTAGCATTTGAAGACTTACAGAACGTTTTATCATAATAATGGTATTCCACACAGCACTTCTTCCAATCTGAGAACTCACTTCACTGCAAAAGAAGTGCAGCAACAGGCCCACGTTCAAGGAATTCACGTCTTACAACATTGCCCACCGTCCTGAAGCGGCTGTCTTCCTAGAACAGTGCAATTGCCTTTTAAATACTCACAGAACCAGCGAGGTGACAATATCTTGCAGGGCTGGCACGAGGCTCTCCAGGAGGCTGTATATGCTGTGAGTCAATATCAAACATATCGTGCTCCCATGACCCATCTATTGGATATCACAGTCAAAATTCATGCGTCCTGGAATAAAAGGGTGGAAATGAGAGTGGCACTACTTACTATTACCCTTAAATCACTAGCGAATTTTTTCTTCCTGTTCCTGCAGCCTTATGCTCTGCTGGCCTAGAGGTCTTTGAGCCAAAAGAAATATGAACAATTTTTACACAAACACTTCTGACACCAAATGTGTGTGCAAATTCTCCCCACTCCAAATAATTCTCCAACCAGCTGAGTGTTCAAAAATTCAACTCTGACACCATCTACCTGGAGCTAATGTTAGATTCCACAAGCACAAAGGCTCAGTTCTATAAGACTGCCCGCACTTTACACACCAATCACAAGTCATTGCTCTCCCATCCTTCTAATCAATTGGCTATAAATGGAGGAGAGGGTCCCAAGACTCACTCCTCGGGTTTAATAATTTGCTAAAATGGCTCACAGAACTCAGGAAGACCTTTCACTCACTATCATTGGATCATTATTAAGGATACATCAGAGGAACAGCCAGATAAAAGAGATGCATAGGGCAAGGCATAGGGTGAAGGGTGCATGGAGTTCCATGCCCTTCTGTACCTCTCAGAACCCCTGTGTTCACCAACCCTGAGATTCTCTGAACTTCACAGAATAGGAGGTTTTATGGTGGTCTTTTTATGTAGACATGACTGACTAAATTACTGGCCATTCGTGATTAACTCAGTGTTTAGTGATTATCTCAATCTCAAATCTCTTTCTTCCAAACCTCTAATCATGCCATGGTCTTTCTAGCAAGCAGTCCTCATTTCAAAGGTATGTAGTTCTCAGGCACCACTCATCTAATTTGCATACAAAAGACATTCATCAGCATATATTGTACTGTGCATATCATAGCTGTCAATATACATCTTGAGTGAATTGTTTTTGTAATTTTTTATTCTAAAACTATAATTTTATAATTTAACTGTCAAAACTAAATTCCATAAATGTCTTTTTTTTTAAGTAGGGAAACTATGGTAAACAAAGATGAAACATCTTACTAACCCAATGCATTTGATAGCAAAATTAGTGTCATAATGCCAATTTCTGTTTTCTAGTCTGCTGCTCTAGTGTTGAGAGGTGGGCCCTAATGGGAGGTGTTTAGGTCATGACGGCTCCATCCGCATGAATCAATCAGTGCTGACTATAAAAGGGCTTGAAACTGCAAGTTTGATCTCTTGCTCTCTCTTTACCCTTCTGCCATAGGGTGACACAGCAAGGAGGCCCTCATCAGATGCAACTCCTTGATCTTGGATTTCTCAGCCCTGTCAAACCATGAGCCTAATAAATTTTATTATAAGTTATCCAGTCTGTGGTATTCTGTTACAGGAACACAAAATGGACCAAGACATTTACTTACTTACCTTTTTATTGTCTGTTTCCTCCAACTAAAATGTAAGCACAGGTGGTACAGGGCAGATATTTATATCTATTGTGTTCATTGGTATATTTCTAGAGTCTAAGACAATACCTGAAAGAGAAGGCACTCCACGAACATTTGTTGAATAATAAATAGTAGGTGTTTGATATATCATCTATTAATTAATGAATAAATTAATGAATGGCACAGTTCATAGAATTTAGTTTTCCAGAGATACAATGTAGATTTCACAGTAATCTGCCCTCTTAAATAGAAGCTAGAGGTGCTATTTAACTCTTTATGACGCTGGATTATTGATAGTAACCTAAGTTGCTGCAAAGTATGCCTTCAGCGCCTATCAAAGCTTGGCTATTCCTCCAGCATATTTTGTGTCTGCAGTCATTTCTCTCTACCTCTCCTCACTGCTTTCGTATACTTATTTTGGTCAAGTCCTTTTCTAATTTGCATGTTCAAACTCAGGCTTATTAAGCTCCTTAGAAATTAATCTGCTGCCTTTGATAGACAACTAAGGGATTTTCCTATAACTCAAATTCTAATATTTGAGTACTCAAACCGTTCTCAACGTACATTTCTGCTCCTCAGAAGTCAGTCTGCCAACTTTCATATTTTACTTTGCAGGCAATCAAAGTAACAAAGGAAATGATTTCTGAAAGGTTGGGAAAATGGGCCATTAATGAAATTTTGCCCACTACATAGAAATAAATATATATATATATTATATATATATTTATATATATATATAAATATAATATGTATATTTCTTGGTATATATATATATATGTATAAAGCTAAAAATTGTGATGTACTTCACACACAGAAAGCAAAAGTCTTTATGTACATAAAAGGGAATGCAAAAATCTGGATTTTATGATCACTAAATTACTTTCCAAAGAAAAGTATATACTAAAATCCTAAAATCCTCTAAAATTTCTTCAGTTAAAAGACTCATTCATACTTAGTACATTCACTATTTGCCTTTTCCAAGAATCAAATGTAACATCAAAATTCACTGATTTACTTTTTAAAGGTCAGAATTATTTTAATTGCTTTTTAGAATATGATGATCTTAGCTCAATCAAGTGGTATTAATTCCATCTCTCTGTGCAACTAACTTAATAACCCTTTTAGCTTGTGGATGCGGAAAGTAGTTCAGAGCTTTTGAAGATTTGTAACCAGACCCCTTTAAGTCCCACGGATGACCTGATTAGGTTGATTAAAGTTCTCTGAACACCTTAGTGGTTTTGCAGTAAAGCCGCCATTGTATTACACAGAGCACTAATATGTGCCTGACCTGATTCTTCAAACTTTACACTGGGGTCAAATTGCTTAAAGCCAAAAGATTTTGGTTGTTTTGTCTTGTTTTATTGTATCAATAGAAAAGTAAAACATTGATTTAAAGAAAAACAAATTCACCTTTCAGGGCTAATTTCTGTCTCTGGCATTCCAAATCACTCTTCCCTACATTGGTCCTCCAATGATGAGTTTCTTTTTTGCCATCTTCCCTCTGTCCTAATTCCTCAAGATAAGTTCTTCCTTACTTGAAAAAAAAAATGAGTTTACACTCACAAGCTTTGAATCATGTCATAATGTATGGGCTAAATTCTCTCTCTCTCTCTGTCCTCCAAACTTTGCAAGTTGAATCCTAAACCCTAGGACCCCAGAATGTGACTGTATTTTGAGATAGAACCTTTAAAGAGGCAATTAAGGTAACATGGGCTCCTATGGGTGAGCCCTAATCCAGTATGGTGGTATCCTTATTGAAGAAGCAGATTATAACAGATATGTGGGCACACAGAGGAAAAACCATGTGAAGACACAGGAAGAAGGCAGCCATTTGAAAGCCAAGAAGAGAGGCCTCAAAAGAAGCCAAACTTAATGACACCTTGATCTTGAACTTCTACTTTCCCTAATTATGAAGAAAATTAAGGCACTCAGCCTGTGGTACTTTGTTACAGAAATCCTAACAAACTAATAATGCAGCTTTGCCACTTCCTAAGTATACGATTTATTTACAATGGTGAGAACTAGGTCTACTTTGAAGAGTTTGGAGAATCAAGCAAAACACGTGAAGTTCTCAATTTTCCTACAATAATGCATTGCTGAAAATGTTCCAATTGGTTACACTTGAACATCACAATTATGTATTCAGTAAATGGGACTCCATGTTCAATGTGCTATAAAAAACAAAATTCCTAATTTCATCCAATTCTAAATATAATCTTTGACCATTGGTTTTTAGAGTTTTGCACCTGTTCTATAATTTTGTTCTTTGCTTTGACAATTAAACCACAACTTAAGATCAATAAATGTCCATTTAAGGATAAATTATCCCAATTTTTGGCTCCCTGATGCTTTCCAACTTTTTCTAAATTGAATTAAGTGCATGAGACCAAATTCCTCATTATTAAAATCAGTACTCTTATACTCATGTTTTTCCATTCACATGCACATTATAAGTGCAAAAGTGTAAAAACATTCAAATTATTGAATAAACCACTGCTACAAAGATTAAAATGGAAGATGCTGCCAGAATTGAACTATCAGCTGAGAGGCAAATCTACCAGGTTAAAAAAAAATTGAATTTGTTGTTTCAGGTCCTAAGGTCTAAATGCAACCTGGAAAAGACAATTAAGGAGGACAAATGTATAACAGTACAGTTGTGGTTTCTATGCAAGCAATGACTCTGTTAGTTGAGTGCCTTGCTCTCAATAAGCAGTAGCTATTATTCCTATTGTTTTGGTTTTGTTATAATTACAAATGTATTCTAATTGTGTCATATGCCTAAATAGATTGGTCTAAATAGATTGAAAGGACTTGCAGTCTACAAACAAACATCCATCAAGCACTGACTTTGTGCCAGGCATAGGACTAGATGGTAGTGATGTGAAGGTCAGCAAGACGAAGCCCCTTGAGTCTCACATTCTAATGGATGAGGCACACACATGAGCAGATCAACCCCTTATTTGTGTAGTGTGGCAAATAAGACAGCCCAATGAGACAATACTATCAATGGAAAGTGATTTTGTCAGGGTCTGATGAAACCCCTGAAGGGTCGTTAGATCCTGTTTCATGTAAAAATGTAAAAAGTGAACAATTGCTAGAGCTGCAATGATGAAGGATAGGATGAAATGGATGGTGAATAATCGTGTGAGGGTGGCTTTGTCAACTCAGAATCCACCTCGGAATCATTGTACACGATCAGTTCCAATATACGGGATGGTGATAGCAGGTTTGTAATTACTGTACTGCCTCAGAATGATATTTGACCTCATGGGAGCACGTAGCCTGTGAATGCTGTTGCTATAGTTGTGAGTAGGAGGATGATGCCAATATTCCAGGTTTCTAGGAATATAAATGGCCTGTAGTATAAGCCTTGGCCAACATGTAGGAAGAGGCAGATGAAAAATATTGAAGTGCTGTTAGCATGAAAGCAGCGTAGGTATGTCTAGAGTCTTCAACCACAACCCAGCGATCTCTCTCTTATGGGAAGGATCACAAGAGTATAATCGGGGGAGACACCAAGAAGGTGTCTTAACCTGTGCAGGAAAGAAATACTATTGAATGCTCCTCTGCCATCACAGTGACAAGAAAATAACATGTGCTTAAGTGGTCATGTGTTCTGTGACCA